ATATTATTTAGTGGGCGTGGCTTATATTCAAGTGCGCTCTATAGTCCAGAAATTACGGTAAATTGGGTTTAAGATTCTGACTTGTTTTAATCTGTAGTGACTTTTTTTAATCTGATGCCATATAAATATAAAGTGAATTCCTATTTTTGTAGTTGAAAGTGGTTGGAGGTGAATATGAAAGTTTATTTTTACACTTTTGGATCAAAGAAAACTTTATTGATGGTGATTACATGAGGACGGCCACGCGGTCAAGTGGCCGAAGGCTGCAAGTGATTGGAGAGGAGGCTGACTGTAAATGAGCTATCAGAGTGGAGTGAAACCCTCCCCCGGGGCCAGGAGGTCCAGTCTCTGTGCCCCCCACAGACCCAGTCCAGTGGTGGGTTTACTTCCACTGGCCCTTCTCGTAGTCCCACTTGGCGGAGAAGCCCTGGATGGGGTTGACCCTCATGTCCAGCATCCTCTGGAGCTGCTTGGCCTGATGCTCGCTTTCGAAGGTCTTGGGGCGTGGGGGGGAGACTGGACCAAACAGAGCAGGGACACACTTTAATGGACTCTGGGGACTCTGGTTTTGAATTTGTCTCGACCGAAGCTGGAGTTTTACCGTAGATCGACTCCCACCAGACCATCAGGCCGGTGAAGCCCATGACGAAGAAGATGCCGCCGAAGACAGTTTTCCACTCGGACGTCGGCTGCTTCATCTCTGGGTACGTCTGGCAGAACATGAGCCGGTACACTGGAGGGTCGAAAGGAAGAAGTTTTAATTAACCCCCCTGCTGCCCTGAGGTCAAAACAACTCATGTAGGTTTTTTTTTTTTTAATAAAAGCAGGAATCCTGAGATGAAAACAAAGATTTGTACCACCCTCCTGTCTTCTCCAGTCTTTGATTAATATCTAATCTCCTCACTGCTCAGTTGTAGAAGAATTCAGATGAACTGTGTTTTTTAAAGGAACTGAAGAGATCTCAAAGTATTTCTGTGACAAGTTAAAGTTAAGATACCTTTAAAAGTAAAAACGCTACAAAGAACTAAAGGTCGTCTCCTGAATGAGCCAAACGTTTGGATACAAGAGTAAAATAACAGCCTGAGAAGATCACAAGAAGCATCCCATGAAACAAGTTTTGAAAAAGCTGGAATATCTGATTCAATGTGAAGAAGTGGAAACGTTTGTTTCAGGAGCTGCTCCCGAGTCAGAAAACCTTATTTCAAACGTTGTGAAGTCTCAGGAGCTTACAGGCGATCTTCTCCTCCTTGCTCAGCTCGGACCAGGGGCCTTTCTCCTTCTGCTTCAGGCTCTTCTCAGCTTCGGTCAGGACATCTTTGTAGGGTTTGTCCGGCAGCGGGGTGTCCAAACGGTCCCGGTACATGGGCCTGGACATGTCCAATTTCTCTGACACCTCTGGAGGACGTAAACAACAAGGCTCAGAGTTCGAACGAATTAACGACACCGTCTGAAGATTGTTTTCTGTTCATAATAAATAAAAATTTACTTTATTATTAGCCATTTTTTACCATTCAAGAGTCAAACAACAGAGCAGCTGCTTGTTTTAAAGTTAAAAAGGTGGAGCAGCAGCGCCACCTGCTGGTTACATTCACCTCCATCTTCTTAAGGAAGAAATAAATATTTCAATATTCAATATTTAACCCTCCAGCTGCCTCGGTGTTAAAACTGTCATTTTGACCAAAGGGCAGCAGCAGGGTTAAGGCTATGTGACTTATTATATAAATAATATGATATACAATTAGTTGATTTCAATAAATCTATATGAGGAAGTTAACTTTTTGAATATTTTCCATCTTTTTGTAAGTAATTCAAGCATCCTTCAAACTGTGGAGTCAACGGATTAAAGATTATCTGCAGTTATGACCGTCTCTGCATTTTAACTTCTTAATCAACTTTAAAAAAAACTTTTTCAATCATGTGAGGAAATGACAATAAAAACTTGAACTTGAAACTTAAAAATAATTAAATAAACAGCTAACATAACAATACGGAACACCTAATAATAAAGATTTAAAATGATAATACACCGAAAGAAAAATTAGAAGTAAAATTTGACATTTGTGACCATAACAAGAGCTAAGATTTACAAGAGTAAAATTAAAACATACGGTACTTTAAAATACGCCTTTTGTTTAACTTAGTGGCTTCATTTTAAGTCACAGTTTATTTCTAAAGCACATTCAGTTTATTTAAAGGCTCTGAGATCGAAACATCCACAAGAAAATGATCTTCAATAAAATACTAAAATATAATCTACCGGTAATAAAAACAACTTTAAGCACAAATAAATAAAATAACAACCAAGATGTTTTGTTCAACTGTTAATGAAGATAAATTAGGTTAAAGTTCTACATTTTTAAGCACATGAGAGTCATAAACTAAATATTTGTAGTAAATATGCAGACTATGTGATTGTTTACAGTAAAAGTGAGTTAAGGTTCCTAACTTGACCACAGTATCATGATCCTTTCTTGTTTTCTAGTTTTATTGTCTTGTGTTTTTGTGATTATAGTGATTGTTGCCTGTTGCTGAAAGACAAAGAAAACAATATTGTTTTTATACGTCTGCTTGTTCGTCTATTGTCAAAATAACTCACGAGTTACAGAACAACTTTTAATGGAATTTGCAAAAAGTAATTATTGAGCGTACATCTAATAATAACTTTTGTGGTCAACAGCATTCGAAATGGGCGCTACAGCCAACTGACCTCAGAAAATGCACAAATGGCTACAAATCAGACAGTTTTGCCAATGTTGAATACAACTTGATGTGTAGCTCAGTGGCGTAAGAAGAGTCACTTTTGAAAATATTGGTTGCCACATCAAAATCCAAGATGGCCGTTTACTAAAAGAGAATGTTACTCATATTCTTCAGACAAACACAGAGCGTGAATCACTGAATTCATGTATCCGGCTCGAAGGACCAAAATGTTGGATAAAAATATCCTCTCTTCATCTTCCTTACTCAAAGAAGCCACACTCGACAGCAATCATTTCTTCTTGCAAGGGCAGACTTTCACAACAGATGACACAGATGTACAGAAGTTCTACATGCATGGAGTCCCGTCATGAGAATCTGCCACAAGCAGTGTGCGAGGTTTGTTTTTATCAGCTTATCAGCTCACAGCTCAGCAGACTGGTGTCCTTGGCCATCCAGCTGCACATGCAGGATCAAATCAGCTCCTCATTCAGCCCTCTCTGAGAGAGCAAATAACTCTTGGCTAACTCCAACTCATGGTTCATGGACAGTTAACATTCTCTGCTATAGTAGTGAAAAACATCCATAAACCTTGGCCAAAATTCCCTGACAATATACAGTATACTGTATGTAAACCGGAAACCCTGAAAGAAAACTATGTTTTCTAGTTTATTTATCGCTTAAAATAATTGTTTCATGATTGGGGTGGCCAAAAATTAATCTATGGTGGTCAAGGCCACCATTGGCCACCCCCTGGCTCCACCATTGGTGGATGGATTAAACTGCTCCGGTTGCCAGGATCCGTCTCTCTGCGCCGCCTCGAACATGCAACAAGAAAACCTCCTTCTGTTCTTCTCCACAGTGTAACTCCTCCCCACTTGGATATCTTGCACCAAAACATTAAGGTTTACTTCATTCTCTGTTCAATTCCTGTCCAGAAAAACACTCATCTCCAATACTACAAACATTTACTGTTAAAATCCCTCAGAGACGGGGGACATCAGCGTACTGTTTGTTTATATTTTTGTTTTCAGTGTCATCGGTCGCCATCTCCCTCGGCTCCTCCCACCTGCAGTCCAGCTATTCTTCTATCCAGCTGTTTCCACTCAGTAATCACCCCTCTCTTCCTTAACAGCTGTCCGGTTCTCATGCCAGGTGTTGGTTCGACTGTTGCAAATCCTGCTGTGTCCTGGTTTCCTGTTGTCTATGTTTGGTTCAGTCTTAGTTATTCTACTTACTTTATTATGAAATAGATTTTATTCTGCTCCTTATCTTGCCTCTGAAGCTGCCCACCATTCAACTCTACACGACACTCAGTATACGATTTGCATCCTTATTGGAAAGCGTCACCATAGCAACAAATAAAATGAAATCATTCAATTTATTCATGAGCTTAAAATAGATAATGAGCATTTGGACCTGATGACTAAAGGTGTAGGAGCTCGCAGCTGAACATTTGAAGAGACAAACGGGGAACATGCTGCTGTAAATAATGAATAAAATAAGAATAATGGAAGCATACTGCTGTGGTCGTGGCTGTCCATCCTCACGCTGCTGCTGCTCACGGCTGCGGCACGTCGAGCCAAAAGACGCCCAACACGAGCCGAGGTCAAACACAACATCTGGAAACAAATGATTTGTTTAAAGTTTATTTCTTTTTGTGCATCTCGCGCTGCTTTTGTTCACCGATCAAGTTTGTAATTTTACTGAACGTCTTCAGGACGATCAAGGAGGGAGTGAACAGTTTATTATGTTGAGCTACTAAAAGAAGAAGGTGGACAAAGTTAAGTTTCACAAAGTATTGATGTTCATCCATACATCCATCTATCATCCATCCATACATCCACCTGTCCATCCATGCATCCATCTATCATCCATCCATACATCCATACATCTATCATCCATCCATACATCCATCTATCATCCATCCATACATCCATCCATACATCCATCCATACATCCATACATCCATCCATCTATCATCCATCCATATATCCATCTATCATCCATCCATGCATCCATCCATCTATCATCCATCCATACATCCATCTATCAACCATCCATGCATCCATCCACCTATCTACCTGTCCATCCATACATCCATCTATCATCCATACATACATCCACCCATCATTCATCCATCATTCATCCATGCATCCATCCATCATCCATGCATCCATCCAGCCATGCATCCATCCATGTATCCATCCATCCATGCATCCATCCATGCATCCATCATCCATGCATCCATTTGTCCTCCATTCATCCATCCATCTATCCATTCATCCATGCATCTATCCATTCATCATTTATGCATCCATCCATGCATCAATCCATCCATCCATCCATCCATCCATGCATCTATCTATCATCCATCCATGCATCCATCCATCCATCCATACATCTGTCCTTCGTCCATCCTCTTGTTCCAGAGTCTGGTTTAAGGAGGTTGTTGAGGTTCCCTGCAGTAAATCACAGCATCTCATTAGGATAATTGAAAAGGGTACTGGTTGGATTTCAGATCCTTTCCTGTTTGGTCATCCTGGTATCTTCCACAGTCACATGACACAGTAACATGCAGCAAGTACAGCAAATAAAACAGAGTTCAACTTTAATATAAATGAGCATATTCTTTACATAATTCAGTTTACTGAAATGCTGCACATTAACAGGGACAGGCTTTGAACTCGTGGTGACGCTGACCAGGTGCTCTTTGAAGAGATACAGATCTGTGCCTCTTTGTTCACACAGCCCACCTGAGGATGTGGCTTTTATTCCCACAAAAACAGTCCCATCAGCTCCATAACTCTGATTTTTACCAAACTTTTACTGTTTGACATCACACTGATTTAAATAAACTGAATTGAATTGATTTGACAGTTCTTCAGAGAACATTCATTGTCATTTTGTGGCTTTTCTCTCAAACTCTCCTCCATTTGCACTTTTAACAGTAATCACTTAATAAAATCTAAAAAGTAACGATGCGAGAGTTTGTTGGGAGTTAATTTAAGGTTGACTTTTCTTACAGATTCAGCGGTAAACCGAGTTAGTTTGCTCTTATGTAACAACAAACTAGACTTTGCTCACAGCTCCTCTAATCAGACTGTGCTGCAAAATCCTTTTCCAGCATTAGAAAACCTTCAGGAGGTCAGAACGTCTGGGTGAAGAATACCACCGAGCTTTCATGTTTGCATTTCTGCACAGCTGCTTGTCCTGTGCAAGAACAAAAACCTGATCCAACTGTCTGCAGACGCTGCTTCAGGCCGAACAGATTTACAAACTTGGTTCTGCTGTTAAAGCTTTTTGCTTCTCATAAACTCTCCCTGCTCGGAGTTGGATTCTGTCTTTCCTGCATGTCCACTTGGGATTCAAGATACTCTGTGTTGGAGGAGGGGCATCTATTCCTGGATCTATCTCTTCTTAAGTTCTCCTGCTCTGTTTATGTGATGAGGCGAAGACATACTCACTGTAGTCGTCGGATTCAAAGATGCACCAGGAAAACTGCAGATCTGTCGAGGAAACGTCTGTTTTGCCTCTTTCCCTCTTCTCACCTCCTAACACTGACAGCAGGAATCAACTGGTGGGAGGGGGACAAAGGCTGCATAGAAGGAAGAGGGAGGGGAGGGAGTTTAGGAGAGGGGGGAGAAATCCCTGCTGGACAAATAAATAATCAGGCAGATCTGAGAGGACTGGCAGGAAGAGAGGCTGTTCACAGAACAGAAAACCCCCTCAAATGTTCAGAATGGCGTCTCTGAAACACACTAAAGAAGCTGAAACCAAATTCTGAAAGCTAAAATAAGCAAAACAACTAAAAGCTAACCCAACAATGTTCAGTCAGGTCATCTGGACAGTTTCTTTTTTTTTGCTGAAACGTTTCACCTTCCATCCAGAAGGCTTCATCATTCAAGGAAACACACAACACAAAACTGATTCTTCCCCCAAACTCCATAGTGGAACAAACCAGTTTTGTGGGTGCTAAGATGGTCTCTTGGGCACACCCCATCCTCCATTGCTGGCCGTTTTACTCGTTGACAGTCGTGTCAAACTGGTTCAAAACAAAAAAAGTCAAAACTAAAAGCTAAATGTAGCAATGGGGTAGATGTGGGTGTTTCACCTTTCCCATACAACTTGCACGCACCAGTCTGCAGATTCAAACCAGCAACCTTCCAATCACAGATTTGCTTTCACTAACCTCTGTGCCACAATCCCGCTAATCCCTACAATTTATAATTCCTGTTAGCAAATAGTAGCAAAAGGCTACCTAACAGGCACTAGCTAAAGCAGCACAATATGAAAGCTTGAAAGGACCAAAAGGCTAAACTTAGCAAAAGGCTAGATAAAAGCCAAAGTAGCAAAAGGGTAGTTACGTGTCAAAATGGT